ATTTGATTTACATTGGGAAAAAGATTTCTGTGAATCAGTGGATAGTTTCTTTAAAGCTAAATAAACCACCCATTACTAACCCGTTGATAGCCTTCATTTGAATCATAAAGGGTCAACAAGTAGTACAATGCTCTAAAAGCCAAATCAAGAGGTATTTTCCCTCTCTATTAATTTGACTGAGCCAAAAGCAGGGGATCGGAGGCGGGGCTTACGGAAAACTCAAGGACACATGCTCTTTGGGCCCAGAGTCAGGTACCTTTTGAGTGGCTCGTTTATGGGTTTCCACAAAGCAACTCTCAATGAACGGGGACCCTCCTCCGATGCTGTATCCAGTTCTCTTTGTATAGCACCTTGTTAGTTTGCTTACTGTGGATTTAAAAAATGGAGAGGGTTTCAAACCATTTGTTCTTTGACATCCTCTTCCCCATCTGTCTATTGGTCCAATGTTGGCTTGCTTTGTTCAGCAGCTTGCAAACACGTATCTTCCTTTTTGTCTCACAGTTGCTTTCATTTAAAAGTCACTTTCGTTCCGTTAGGGGCGTTACCTCTCCTGTGTTCCCGTGAAACATGCTGTGAGAGTTGTTTTCATGTTTGTGAGGAATTGGAGGTTTGACAATAAGGGCAATTGGAAGATAGACAGACACCAGGGCTAATACTGATTTTAGAGGGGGAAATTGACCAAATAATGATATAATTGCCAATAAAGTGAGTTTTTTTATTTAGATCGTGCAGCAATTTTGCAACAGAAGCTGACATAACAACTTAGTTAAAGACTATTTAACAATAGTTACTACATAAACATTATTACAGTTTATTATCAGACCATTTTTGATCAATGAAACAACGTGAAACAAATACGATGTTAAAATAGGCAAATGTCAGCCGATAAACACATCTTAAAAAATAAATGTACCATAGTATTTCTCCTATTCTGACATCTTTCATCCTCCCTATGGCTTTTCCAGTGTCTTTCTTTAAATCATATCCTCCTCTTTCAGTAGTGTGTGCTCACTGAGCCTATTTGGTCAGGACCCGTCTCTGTGTTCTATTTCCAACCGAGTGGACATACTAAGAGATACAAACATGTTTTACCTAGCAGCGATGACATTCATGTGTTTTTATGTTCCTGTTTGTATATCTCACCCTTCCATGCCTCACCTGACTGACTCCCCCATGGCCCGGCCCCCCCCCCGACCCTCTGAACTCATCTCTTCTTTTATCCGCTCTGTTGCCCCTCGCCACCACCTTCTCGCTCTCTCAACCTCCATCTACTGGCATCTCCTGAAGAAATGTGGCTTATAATCTCTCTCTTTTACTTCAGTTTTACTCACACTCGTCCCCTCAGGTAGGGTGAGTCGGGTGTGACCACATCTCTGGTCAAGAACTGCCTGGGTTAAGCATCAAACACACACACACACACACACACACACACACACACACACACACATACACGCACACATGTGGTCATGTCGTACAGGATATAACAGTATTGTGAATGTTTATGAGATGCCAGAGCTATCAATCTGAGTGTGACGCTTGTTCATGTTTTACGGGTGGTAGCAGATACAGCTCCCTCTTTCATTTCTTATTTCATCCCCCCCCCCGCCCTCCGCCCCCTTTATCTGCTCCTTCACCCCTCTACCAAACACAACCCCTCGCTCTCCCACCTTTTCCCGCCTCCATCATGAAACCACAGTGGCCTCCGCTGTGCTCCACTTGCTACTTTTCTTGCATGTCTCTGTGAATGTTTGGATCGATAAGACCCAACTGCGTAATAGAATTAGCCTCTAATGGAAAGTACAAACTAGCTTTCTATTTACTAAATCCCTCCAGGGGGTTTCTGGGTAGGTAAAGAGCAGACTGTGAAATGAGACGGCAGGTTTTTAGCCTGTGTGTGTGTGTGTGTGTGTGTGTGCGTGTGTGTGTGTGTGTGTGTGTGTGTGTGTGTGTGTGTGTGTGTGTGTGTGTGTGTGTGTGTGTGTGTGTGCAAGCGTTTGTGCAGGAGAGGAAGGGAGATACTGTAAATAGACTTAAATTCAAGTTAAATTGGTTTAAGTTCTTCAGCTGATGTCTCTATGTCAGGTACATGGATTTTTCCTCAAGTGATGAGTGTGGCTTAGGACAGCAGGACCGAGAGTGCTTTTTTTAATCTTGCAGATATGTTTTTTTATCGAGCAAACGCCTTAAACATTTCATATTATCTAAAATGTTCCCTATCTTTAAAGAAATAAAGGGTTTTCTAATAAAAGTCCAATTGGCAACAGCAATAAGTTGATGTGAATAAAGTTCATTAACAGCGTTTTATTCAATAGTTTGTTATTAAAGACAAGTCCAATGCAATGATATAAACAAAACATTCCTGTATTTCTTTACACACCTCTTAAACACTTGAAGTTATTATGGAGTTATATTTACAGCAGCTGAAACCTGATAGGATGCAATTACAATTATTCAATTACAAATATATTGTTTAGTTTACGATTTTAGTTTGAAACACAAATGCTTGCAGCCAAAGCAAATAACTAACAGCTCACAGCTAAACAAACAATCCTTCAGTCCGCTGGGCAGAGCGTTACAGTTGGGGTTTAACAGACGCAGAGTTGTTATGTAATGTATTTAGGTTTTAATCACCCAGGTCTGTTTCATGTGAACACTTTAAGATAACAAAATTAAACTTTTTGAATTTATTTCCTTTGACTTTATTGCAACCTTTCCCAAACTTGCTTATCTCCCCGTTGGTTCTTTTTCCTCTTCTCTTTTGTACTTTCTCCTGTTTCTCCTCTCATTCAATAATATTCACTCTACTCCCCTTTGTGAACCCTTGATTCTTTGCTTTTCCTGTTTTAACCTTACTTTATTCCATTCAAAGGGACTTGATTTGCATTAAAAAAATGTTTACATTGCGAGATATGCCATGGTGCAAGGACAAAAGCGACTATTATAAGGAGCTGTGTGAACACGTGTGTAGCTTTACAACATTTTATTCAAATATATAAGAAAA